GGCAGACGACGCCTCGAGCGGCTTTCCTCCACACGGCCACACCGGACGCCCGACGTGTCTAAGGCCTCTTCCGGACGCAGTTATGGCGATCGGCTTGAGCCCTCACGCAAACTACAACACGAGCAACAACACGAACCGAAACAGAAACAGAAACTCGAACCTGCTGTTGCCATGGCGACAACCGACCCGGACGGGGCACGGCCAACAGAGGAGGTACGAGCAGATGACGCGGCCGAATCTGGCGAGAGGGAGAGGGAGAGGGTGAGGGAGAAAAGCGATCTGGCCTCAGACGAACTGACCTCTGAGGTGAAGAAAGCAGACGACTCCGGCTCCAACATTTCTGCTCCCGCCTCGCTGCCCGTCCATCCGCCGTCCGGCTCGACTACCCCCAGACGCACAGTTCGCCGTCGCCGGCGTCGACGCCTCGGCTCGTTCGTGCGCTCGTCCAGCAGCGAAGAGGCCCAGCTCGGCTCATCTGCCCGGAGACGAGAGCCACAGCCGACGCGGCCCATCGCTCGCTTCGCGCTTGCCTCCAGTCGCCGGCCAAAGCTTCTGCCGGGCCTGGAGCTCGTCGAGGAGCCGTTCGTCAGCTGCCTCCCGATGACCCCGTCGGAGGCCATCGCCAAGGCGGCTCTCGGCGTTCCCGCCAGCGTGAACCACGACAGTGACGCCTCCTCTTCCGGCTCCCTTGAGCTGGCCAAGGATATACTCTCCTCGTCGGCTTGGAAGGAGTTGAAGATGTCCCGTTTCGTCTGCTATATCTAGTTTAGTTTAGCCTATTCCAATCTAGCCTGGCCTAGCTCATGCTATTGCACTCTACTTTTTCTACCCCAGTTTGGTCCAATCTGGTCTGGTCTGGTCTGGTATGCTGTTCTCTCCTACTTTAGTCTCGCCCATTCCAATTGAGTTCAAGTGTTTGATGACGAGCCTCGAAAGTCGGTCCCACCAGAAGACGACGGCGACAGATTCCTCTTGACCGACTGCCGATTGACTTTGCTTGCGCACTCTTGTTGATGCTGTTTCCCGGGCAATCTCCCTCGATTCCGGTGAGGACGTACCACGCTTTTATCCGTCGTGTGACATTATTGTAATTATATTTGTGCTAACTCACCGGCTCATCCCTGACTGCTTCATACATACCCTAAATCTAAGCTTTCTGATAAGGTATAAAGGTCATTTCACCAGCAAGCATTTACGCATGAACCGGCGAGTTTGCTTGACTTGTTAACCTCAATATGGTTGTAACTCGTTTTCACCGAGTCGGAGGAGATTGCTTCGGAAACGGCGTCAGCAAGAATGTTCCAGCAAAGCCAATCGACAGCTGGTCAAGAGGAATAGGCCGTCGTCTTCTGGTGGCATCCTCCTTGGAATCTTGTCACCAAACATTTTCACTCGAAATGGAAGTAGCTCAGCATACATTCTAATTGAGCTCGGCCCGATCTAGTCCAGATCAGTTCAGCCTAGACCATTCTTCTCTCCATCTATTCATTGCCGGAAAACGCGACCGTCTGCCATCCTCTCAGGATACTTGCCCTCTAGCAACATCTCTTCTGTACATTTTTCCTTCCCAGCAAGAATCATACGGAACGGGGGCAGCTCTCTCATTCATCTCTCTCTCTTTCATCGTGCTTTCACCTCACCTTACTTGGAGTCCATACTCCGCTCTCTCTGTCTCGTCTGGTCCTTGTTGAACTCGATCGA